CCGCCGTGGCAGAAGATGATTGAGACTGAGCGGAAGATTCATCCTCCGGAGCCGCCATGATCAAGCAAAGGAGACGGTAAGAGTCGTGCTTTGTTAAATTTTTCCTCGCCAAAATCAATCAAAGGGGAAAAACTTGCAGTTTCACTGTTCGATATTAAAAAAAAAAAAACCAGTTAGTCCATATAATAAAGGAAACAATAAAATAGTGTAGTATCTTTCTAATTGTCATTAACATATACCCTAATTGTTGAGCCAAAAAAAAACAAAAAAACATATACCCTAATTGTTGTATGTGAAAGTGATTGTGATGAAATGATTTGTATTACTCTGATAATTCTAATTGTAATGATTTGTGTTACTTGTTCGGTTGTCTCATAATTCAGATTTATATAGGAAATAGGATTAGTTTGTGTGAATGTATGTGCTGTAGGAAAAAAATATTTATACTTACAGAAAAATATTGTAGACATCAAATTTTATCGTACAAAAACCATTCGTTTCCTTATTGTTTTGTAGTACTAAATATCGGAAATTTATGGGTTATGGGTATATTCAATTAAGTATTTGGAAGAATTTGAATTTTAGGAGGTGTTATTGAATTTGTATTTTTAATGTATTTTAAAATCAAAGATGAATCCGTGTTATTCAATTATGTATTTGATATAAATACATTAAAATTTCTTGTTATTGGATTAAGTATTTGTTATATAAAAATGTGTTATTCAATATGTCTTTGATTGTAGGAGATTTTAGTTATAATGGATTTTAAAATATTTTTTTGCCTAAAACATGAGTAAACCTAATACGTGATTTTCACCTCTTCTTTTGATGGATTTCAAATAAAAGATAAAATAAATAAAAAATTTTAAAATAAAATTTCTCACCAAAAGCTCCGAAATTTTTTCAAATAGAAATGAAGAAGATAAACATAGATTGTAATTTTTTTTAATATATATATATATTTATGACGATTTTTTCATGGATTCAAGTGCAAAACTTTGTTAAAGAATTTGTCGAAGTGGAGAAAAAAATTAGATAGTTAGAAGAAAAATGATTTTTGAAAATTCAAACCAATTATAAAAACAAACTCAAAACATATTACGTGGGTCATTATAAATTATTAAAATCCAACAAAATATTTCAAAATATAGTTACAATAAAATCTATAAAAATACCAATAGAATCGTGATGGGTCACTGTAAATTCATCAAAACCCAACAAAATACCTCTAAATATCTCTAAATACAATTAAAAAAAACATTAAAGACACTCATTCAATAACTCCTTAATGAATTTTTATATGATTTTAAAGTACATTTTGTAAGAAACAAAGTAAAAAAAAAAACAGGAGACAGAGAGAGTTTAGAGGCGACCAAGCTGTGGTAGAAGAAAAGAGACCCGATTATTGCGCCAAAACCAAAGG